TATCCCGTTAATACTTCCCAAGTTATCCCATTTCTAATGTCCATTATCACTTTTCCCGGCTAAAGGCTATTAACATCGGAAGGAGTCACCGGAGGGGTTTTAATCACTAGAGGTCTTTTTTGGGGATGAGTTGTAGTATCTGATGCTGTTGTAAAATCAATATGTCCTCGCTCATTATTTTGCGTAAATTGCCTACTTCCGGTTTAAGGGGTGGTTTTCCAAAGTGCTAATAACTTCCGGTTCAACCGCTCGATTTGGTTCAAATTATAACACAAGATATACTTCGGTACTACCAATGCTATCCCAAAGTTTTAGCTTCTTGCGTTCAGTGGGGTCCGAGAAACGACTCCCGGAAGTCGGGGTGGGGTCTCTTTGCATTGGGCATAAAACAGGAAGTAGGGGTTCAAGGGGTCTGGATTTCTAAACTTAATCATCCCTCAACTAGGTCTATAACATACTATATTTTGGTTCCATTCCAACAGCTAGTTACCAAGTTCTAATAGGGCCATTTGCACTTCCGGGATCCGTTATCACTTGGGGTCGGGGTTCCGAAGGTTATGGATTTCTGCATGCCCGGGTCAAATCATCTGTAGTATCCGTCCTATGAGTTTCATAACCCTAGCCACTATAGTTCCCTTTTCGGGGGTTGCAGATTTTACTCCCTCCGCATTTTCTGCCATAGAAGGGACTATATCTTTGAAGATTCAAACTTATTTTGGGTATGACTATTTGTTTACTTTTCTACTTATCATATTGGCTAAACTAACTTCATAGTACGCGCTCCCCATTAGCTTTAGATATCATGCAGATAATACATTCATTAGCATGGACTACCAAACCTATAATGAAACTCTTTCGTATCAAAAGGGTAACCCAAGAGGTCGAGAGGTCCTTCCCTCTAACTTAAATGCAGCACAGCGGGACCCTTTCCGCCGGAAAGCTTCCAAGTTCACTTTCAGGCGCCAAAAATTATATCAGACGGGAAGGTCGTTTTACACGACCGGAACGTCGACTCAGCAATAAAAGAGGTACACGAGGTCAGTTTGAGGCATCGAGGACGCTATCACCAACTGGAGCAGGAATTCCGCACCCGGTACCATGTAGAGTTCTTGCGCCAACAGTTTGGGGCCCTTTGCATTGACTGCGAGGGTTGTGCCGAAAACCGCAAGACAACTGTTAGTGACGGACCGATGATTCACTTGTCGGCGGAGACGCGAGTCCGCATTTGGCAAAGGTTGGGGTTGGCAATAGGAAGCCACCCTGTTATAACGGAGAACCTCGCCGAAATCGACCCCTTCCGATACGAGCCAGTGGCTGTAGAATGCGCTCACCCGGGACCAATTGCTTACTGGATTGCATCCACCACCTTCTCACCGGGACTACTGGGTAGTCTACGAGGCTTCAGGAGTTGCTCGCGGAACAACAAAGGATGCAAATTACCCGTTATCAGTCGCCTTTCTACCCGCTATTCAACCCCGGTCAGACTGTCGTTCAACGCGGGTTACTGGAGACAGATCTTCACGTTTTGGCCAAAATGTTGGAAGTACACCTACAAGTATCTCCTCTAGAATGGCCAGGGGGCTAAGTGGAGTTACGTCGCCGGGCATTCAGGAGGTCGGGCCGGGTCGGAAGCCACTTATTTGCTGTACAAAATTCAGTCCAAGTCGGGGGAAGGTCTCTCTCTCTACTCGTTACCTGCCTTCGTCCAAAACGCACTTAGGTAAGTCTAGAATTAACAATTCTAGA